CCACAGAACCATCGATGTAGGCATCCTCTGGGGAACAGTAGGCGTCTTGTGGCCAATTGCGAGCACTCGACGCCTTATAGAGACTTCGCGGAGGATAATTGATAATTGAATCACATTTTCTACATCCGAGAAGTTCCACTCTAAGACCCGGGTTATTATGCCATGCGATCACTTCGATGCGAACAAATCGAGTGATTACTAAGTTTGTCAGCAAATGGTATTGCAATGAATGCGAGTCTTTATTCCCAAGAAGTTTTTGTTTGTCGTTATAATAGGTCCATACGTTGGCATCACCGCTGAATAACAAGTGGTAGTGTTTGATCCAAGACTTTCCATCTGCTCGGCCTTGAGTTATGATACCATTGATTGCTGTTTCAAAGCCCAGGTCTATCTGGAGGTAATCATTGGTTCTATTGGTGTCGGCACACCATCCCCTCCCCGGCCACACATGAATTCTCGCATATTTCACATTACAATTGGGATCTCTGTCGTAATTGGAGGATGCGCTCAGTTGCCAGTCGTGTATCCGACCGTCCATTAGACCCAATGGTGAGCAACAATCTATTGACAAATTTAATTACCATTCAATTGCTGTAATCAACAACTCTTCCCACCTTTTACTGAATCCCAGTCATTGATAAACGACTTTATATTCAATGCATTTGATGGCAAAACTTCTTTACTTTTCAATGCAATAATTATTAGTAAATTATAAAAAAGCTTTCTCAATTTCATATTCATTAAATACATCGGCAAGTATTGTCTGATCCTTGAATGGCAGCAAAATAAACAAAATACTCAACGATTCTGCGATGATTTCATGTTTAGTTCATATTTTATTCATATGTATTGATTGGTTCATCCAATGGTCAGAAGCTATTGAAGTGATCGCCACTACTCTCAGCAACAAAAACACATTAATTCATGCCTTGATAATCAATTCTTTTATTAAAATAATTTTCATTCAGAAACATTTAGGTATCCAATTGATATAAGATATAATTTAATTATTGAATATTTGTGTTTTATAGTTATTCAACAAATTTTATCATTTTTTTCTTAATTTTATACAAATATGTCATGTTTTTTATCGTTTTTAAATCACTGTGAAGTAATCCAAAGTCTCATTATTTTGAAGTCATAATAAACAGAATTTGAATACTTAATAAGCAAGTTGCAAATTCTTAAATTATAATATTACTGAAAAATACAATTAAAGCAAAAATCTAACTCAATATAACAGTCAATATAATCGTTATGTCTAAGACTAGAATTTAAGTAAATGCTGTAATGATTGCAATATATGAATGAAAAATATAATGACAACAAAAAAAGATTCTTAAGTTTATATATAAATCAATAGTAAATGATATAATAAATGATAAATCAAAACAAATAAATGATTAAATCACACAATTCTAACCCCTATTAACAATAGCAAAGGTTTGCAGGTATCGAGTGTTTGAACGATTATTTGAATCATAATTATTAAAAGCCTCGAAATATGTGTCATATTGAGTCAAATTGGGAGCCGATGCGGAACTCCTCATCAAATTTGTTTGTTTGGTTTGCGCTCTCCGTCTCACTTCCAGCTCTTGTATGTATTGTTCAGCTTTTTTGACTCCCAGTGTGGCCGCCCGTCGGAGCAGTGTTTCGGCTCTGTTCAGGTCGACAGCAATGCCTCCCTTTCCGTACAGATAGAAGAGCGACAGGTTATAGATGGCCTGCTTGTGGCCCAATGAGGCGGCGAGCATATAGTGCTGGTGCGCCCGCTCCAAGTCGACGGTGCCTTTGGTCGAGTAGCGGCCGCTCTCGTACGCCACTCCCATATTAAACAACGTCTTCGGGTTGGATTTGGCCGATGACCAGCACTTCATCGCCTCATCCGGATCTGTCTCGACGAGAGACAGACCTAACAAATGGTTGAGTCGATCGACGTACTGAA